GGAGTTTGTGATTTCAACGGGGTGGCTTTGCAAGCTCCTGTTTTCCATCTTCACCTTGAGACAACCTCCCCAGTTGCCTCTGTTGGAGTTTTACTGAGAGCTGGAGTTGCTTTGTGCCCTTCGTACCCCATGCCGGCTCCTCTTCAGCCCTCCGCAGAGGGGATGGGCAGGGGGCAAACCTGTGAGTGAGAAGGAGTTCAGCTAAGAGAAGCTTCCCCCATCAGCAGGAGGCCCTAACGAGGGGGGGGATTCGCATCTTCCTCGGTGCCTTGTGCTCTGGTCAGTGCCGCAGCAAAGCCAAGCCTGTCGTGGGTGGATTGCCTTTTCTCTTGTATTTCCACCTTGATGACTGTAAAGGGAGGCTCGACCTGAGCTTCTCCCCATGCAAGCGGTATTTCGTGGGCGATGCTGTCTGCGGACCCACAAGCTGCACCCTCTGCCCTTGGGGACCAGCCCGGGTGTGACGGTGATTCGCGGCGGAAGCGCAGCATCCCCGGGTACCCCCCGGGCTGGGCAGGAGGACGGATCCTGCCCCTGCCCTTGGCTGAGGGACACTGCTCTGCCTGCGGGGTTCAGCCGGTGTAAAAGCACTGGTTTTCCCCCAAAAGAGATGATGGGATGGATGGAGCCATCCCTGTGCGGTGGGTGATGCTGGTTGGCATCAGTTCGGGCTTTGCTCTCCAGTCCCTGTCCCCGTGCAGTGCGTAGGGGTGGTGGGTGGAGGGGTAAAACACCCCCAGAAGATGGGAATAAACTCGCAGTCAGGTTCTGATTTTTACATCGATTTGTTTTTGAATAAAAGCTGTCAGCTTTGCTGAAAGGAGAAGGGTTTGCAGAGGTCCCTTTCTCAATGTATCTTTTGGACATCAGTAGACAGAATATCGTGTTCGGGTCCTGTTGCCACATCCTCCTGCAGTGCCTCTCCCGGTTTCATTTTGCAAAAACTTTAGTAAACAGAAATGAAAAAAAGAAGAATTTTGTTCCAGAGGGAAGGTGGTTTGGAGGAGGACAACGAGACATGCTGAGTTTTAGGGAAAAAAAGTTTCCTAGTTTGTAGATTTTTCTCTGAAACGGAAACATCCTCTTCTCTCCCAGCTCTGAAGTCTCATAATTAATGTGAGGTCGGGTATCTCATTAATTACAACTGCGCTGAGCGCGGCTGCATTGCCCTCCTGGGAGGGAGGTGGTTGTAGGCTCCTGCGTCTCACGCACCATATCAAGACAGCGACTGAAGTGACATTCCTGTTCCTCTCCCTCCTCCCGTTCCTCTTAATGCCAAAAATAAAGTGCTGCTCGGCGTAATTTTATGTTTGGGGTTTGATTTTGTTTTAATTTATTTTTCCCCTACAGCTTGGCACCTTCGTCGGCATCACTGCTATCTGAGAGCAGGGGCAGCTGAGCAAAGTGATTGACTTCCCCGGCGTGCCGTGTCGGCACTCATCGGCAGAGCACCGGTGTGCCCAAGCTCGCTCCGTGTCTCCCCGCATCCCCTCGGCAGCCAGCGATGACCGACGCGGTGGTGGGCGGCAGCTCTGACCGGTGGATGTGTCCCGGTGACAGGACCATGTCTCTCCGGGCCAGGTGAGAGG